TGATACATGGCTGACACATGGAAAAATAAGGGGAAAGTGAAGTCCTCATCTCAACTTGGGTTTTGTTTCCCTCATCATGGAAAAGTTTGGGAAAATGAGCCAACATTCAATGCACATTTTTCATGACCATTTTATCCCTATTAACAATTTCGAATTACAATGTATCATTAAATACATTTTTTTTATTTGGTTTAATATGAGTATAATTGGAAAATTATACAAACTTTGTTTTCTATTCCTACTCAAAACAAACATAGGAAATAAAAGAAAGTGAAATCTCCCGATTCCTTTTCTGGCATTATCAAACAGGGGAAATGAATCTTGCATTTCTCATAATGATGACGTGGAAAGTCAGAGAGTAAAACTGGAAAACAAAACAAAAATCCAAAGAAGTCAGCCAGCCATCACTGGCCACCACCCTTTCCTAGCGCCTTCCTCATTCGTTGTGATATTGTCTTCCATCTCTTTTGCTCTTTTCCTATAATTTTCTTCCCTCTTCTCTGCTCCACTGCTTCAATCTCAGATTCCTCAGCTCAACTTTGAATGAACTCGTAGCCTTTTCCTTTGTCCACTTTCAGAGTCTACCATGGCGACCTCAATTGAACAAGGTGCTCTGCTCTCCCTCTCTTTCTGTACACATACATATTTTTTAATTTCCAATTAATTTGATAGGAAGAAAGAAAAAAAGATTCTCTGTAGCTAGAGCTCTCAAAATAAATGAATAAACTAAGAAATTAAATACTCAAATGGATTAACAATCAACAACTTGTCAGGTGCCTGTCACTTTGCCCACATGCATAATTTTATTTCCAAAATCAGCTACTTTTTTTAAATTTTCCTGGAAAGTTCTTCCTTTCCTCTGAACCAAACAGGTTTTGTAACTTTCAATTTTGTGATTATTGAACTTATAGGAGAAGCTGATAGGGACTTAGAGAAAGGTCTGATGACTCCAACACAGAACCAAAACCCTCTGGCCGAGCCATCGCCTTCGCCATCGCCATCTCCGTCGGCGACGGCATCGGCACCGGCGTTGGTGCTGTCCAACTCCGGCAAGCGCATGGACCAGGCGGGAAAGAAGAAGTACGTGAAGCAGGTCACGGGTCGCCACAACGACACTGAGCTCCACTTGGCAGCTCAGCGCGCCGATCTAGCCGCCGTACAGAAGATTCTCGGTGATATCGATTCGCAGATGGTGGGGACCGTCAGTGGGCCCGAGTTTGATTCGGAGGTGGCTGAGGTCCGGGCGGCGGTGGTGAATGAGGTGAATGAGCTGGGGGAGACTGCCTTGTTCACGGCCGCCGATAGAGGGCATCTTGATGTTGTTAAGGAACTGTTGAAGTATTCAAATAAGGACAGCGTTACGAAGAAGAACCGCTCGGGGTTTGATCCCTTGCATGTAGCTGCATGTCAAGGACGCCATGGTAATGATCTTCAGCTTTTATGCTCTTTTGGATTTTGAACTCCTTATCTAATTTTAATTATTTGGTTTGTGAATTTGGGTATCTGTGGAACTTTTTTTGTGGTGAAGATTGCAAGAGGGTTATTGGGATTAAAGTTCGCTTTTTGGAGATGTTGGGATCTGGCTATGTCATTTCTCTTGTTTTTATAGTTATTCAACATAATGGGCAATAGAGTGTATATCGTATGAGCAAAGCTGCAGTGGAAATTGGAAGTACTGATTATTTAGTTTGCAAGTTTTATGATTTGAAGGAATGATCAATTTTGGTTGATGGAGTGTCCAATTGTTTACTGCATAAAATACTTGCCACTGCTCTTATTTTCTCATCAACAATACAGGCTATCAATGTTTTGAGATATTCATTTATAGAGAGTGAAGCATTCAAGATTATGGTGTATTATAAACTATGTCCTTGTGTGGACACACACACGTGTTAACATTGTCATATGACAATTGTCTCCTGGTTCTGTTGGACAGACTTTAACACTGGTTTTCCTAAACCTTCTGATACCTCTACTAGTTGCTTCTGCCCTGGTTCTTTGTCTATACTCACATAATGATTTCTTTCTAGTCCGAGTAAAATGAAAGTTAGAGCTCCCATGGTCTGAATGCTACTGTGCCGTTGGACAATACATTCATACTCCCACTTTTCTTGCAGCCATCGTCCAGGTACTACTAGATCATGACCCTGGGCTAAGCAAAACAATTGGCCCATCGAATGCAACCCCACTTACATCTGCAGCTCAAATAGGGCATATAGCGGTAGTTGATGAGCTGCTGTCAAAGGATTGTACCTTGTTGGAGATTTCTAAATCAAATGGGAAGAATGCATTGCATCTAGCTGCGAGAAGGGGGCATGTGGAGATCGTAAGAGCATTGCTGAGTAAGGATCCACAATTAGCACGAAGAACTGACAAGAAAGGGCAAACTGCATTGCATATGGCTGTAAAGGGGACGAACTGTGAGGTGGTGAAATTGCTTCTTGAGGCAGACCCTGCAATTGTCATGCTTCCCGATAAATTTGGTAACACAGCATTGCATGTAGCCACCAGGAAAAAGCGGGCAGAGGTACTTTATATATGGGTTACTCTGCACCTTCATCTTAACTGATGTATCTTTTGAATGGTATATGTTTGTGAATTCCAATTTCTTTAATATAGTAACGGTGGCCGTGAGTCAATGATGCTTTAAGTAATTGCATATTATGAAGCCTTAGTAGTTTTGCAGATCTCAGGCTAAGTTTTATTTTTAAACTTATACCATGATACTTTTTGGTGGCATGGTTTATGGAAGGGAAAGTTTTTTTATATATTTTATTTTATAGGATGATAGGAATAGCTTGATACCGAATAGTTTATGCCCTCTTCTAGTGGATGCAGAAAGCAAAAACATATATCCTTGATATTGTACTAATTCAAGGAAGAATGTCGGTTTCTAGTATGTAAGGCAAATTATGTATCTGCTAGTGTGAATACTGCTTTTTTCCCCTTCTTTTAGATTTACTCCTTTGCCATTTGTAAAATCCTTTCTCCAGCCGTGTGATCCTTGCACATGGTTGCTACAATATGAGCTTTTCTTCTTTGGCAATTTCCTTTTGTGATATAACTTGATTTGTATGTGTTAATATAATTGGGATGAACTATGAGTTCTTATTTGCTAGTCTGGTGTGAACGACATAGTTAAGGTGGCTAAAAATTGGCGTCAGTATTCACGTTGTTTCTCTGGAAAATTGGGTTAAGGGACCTTTATCATATTTTCTGCACTTCTTTTTAGCTTTGGTTCAAGCTGAACTAGCATAGCCGTCAGTTCTTGCTTTCATGCTTGCGCATCTCCATTACAATTATAGATCTATCTGTAATTATATTTTTTCGCTTTCGTTGCAGATAGTGAATGAGTTGTTACTCCTCCCAGACAGAAATGTTAATGCACTGAACAGGGAGACGAAAACGGCTCTTGACATTGCTGATGCACTTCCACCTTCTGAAGAATCCTCGGAAATAAGGGGTTGCCTCTATCGCTACGGTGCTGTCAAGGCTAATGAACTGAACCAACCAAGGGATGAATTGAGAAAAACAGTGACTCAGATCAAGAATGATGTTCATATCCAGCTTGAACAAACAAAGAAAACCAATAAAAATGTTCACAATATTTCCAAAGAGCTCAGAAAGCTCCACAGGGAAGGAATCAACAATGCCACCAACTCAGTCACTGTGGTGGCTGTTCTATTTGCAACAGTTGCCTTTGCAGCTATCTTTACTGTGCCAGGTGGTGATAAAGACAATGGGACGGCTGTGGTAGTGAAGAGTGCTCCTTTCAAAATATTCTTCATTTTCAACGCCATTGCTCTCTTTACGTCGTTGGCTGTTGTGGTTGTTCAAATTACCTTGGTCAGAGGGGAGACAAAAGCGGAGAAACGGGTGGTGGAGATAATCAATAAGTTGATGTGGCTGGCTTCCGTGTGCACTTCAGTGGCTTTCATGGCCTCCTCTTACATAGTGGTAGGCCAGCGCCATAAGTGGGCTGCAGTTCTGGTAACAGTTGTTGGGGGAATGATAATGGGCGCAGTTCTTGGCACCATGACATATTATGTGGTAAAATCGAAGCGGATTCGTTCCATGAGGAAGAGGGAGAAGCATGCAAAGAGGAGTGGTTCCAACTCATGGATGCCCTCTGACTATTCCAATTCGGAAATCGATCGAATTTATGCCCTTTGAATTTGATGTGTGAAATTTTCACCCTTTGCAAAGTTTGTGAAGGATTGTAGAGAGTAAAAACACTAAAACAATGGATGTTGAATAACAGCAATATATTTGTTTGCCCCACTTTTCTTCTTGTTGGTACTACATTTGTAAACTCCACTTGTTCTGTAAACATATCTCAAATAGGTCTCCCCTTGTTTTAACAGCGACGTGGTGTCTTTTGCTAGATTAGTCTCGTATGTGTGTGTTTGGGATTTTTCCTTCTTTTTTTTTCTTTCTAAAAATGTCATTTTACGATAACTGCTAATAGTTTAAGGTCCGTTGAAGACCTTTGTGTTTTTGCCTATTTTTTTTCTTTCAAGATATAGAAATATAGATATTCAAAACCCCTTCTGTTTTTTATTAATTTTTAGGACCTTTCCAATTAAGAGCAGCGATAATATACTGAGTTCATACACACTACACTGATACTATGACTTGAATCCATGGCCTTGTCAAGGGGAGCAATTGCTTCAAACCACTACAGTGGGTCCTTTGCCCTTTTGAATAGTGCTTGAACTCTCTTTGAGTGTAAAATTCTAAAATCACTTTGCCCTTTTTGAATAATGCTTGAACTCTCTTTGAGTGGTGAAATTCTAAAATCTACTAAAATTTTAAAATTTGAGTTTAGACAAAAAACTTGTAGCTCAAATAGTTAAGAGCAAGCACTCAAGGTCCAGTGTTAGAATTCCGTTTTTACACTTGTATTAAAATAAAAATTACGTAATTAAAGAAATCATGAGTAATTAAAGAAATAAAATAAGAAAAATTAAGTCCAACAAGTCAACAAAGATGGTGTAAGTAAACAGAGGAAAGAGGCCCGCAAACGACGTCAATGTCGCGCGGTCCCGCCGTTCTCAGCTGAAAATGGTTCGAATCCACGTGAAGCACGGCGACGGCTCCGACCAAAAGGAGTTCCTCTACGACTGTTCAACCACGTCGCCAATTGAAGAAATTGCCCCCGAAATCTCGCGAATTTCCAATCTTCAATCCAGGATCGACCGCCTGGTTTTCGAGCTCGAACCTCATTTGGAACCCCTCCAAGGCGACGCAAAAGGTTCAAAGACTAACCATTTCGCTAAAAACAAATCGCTAACACAAAGCGTCGATCTCAGAGTCACTCACTTACTTGTTCATTACTAAAATGCAGCTGTTTCTCTCCTCAGAGCTTTATCTGAAGCCAAATCCTATGCTTCAAAGGTAAAGCAAACGCTTTGAGGTTGAATTGTTCTCGAAAACGAAAACCCATTGATAAAGTATGGATTTTCATAACAGGACCAGGTTGTTCACAATAGGCCTTTGTCTTATCATGTGCTAAGAAACAATGTACAAGCCTTAGAGAGAGAGCTCAACTCGGTTCCTCAGTTTCAGAAACTGTTAGCAGGTAACCCTTTTGTAGTTTTTTAATTATGTTATTACAATCAGGAAAAAGTTTTGATTTTTGTAGGAATTTGAAAATTTACAGACGTTGAATCTAGTGGAGAGGATTTGAGGCAGGTTTGTTGGGCCGGGAAAGTGCTTGATAGAAGTAAGCGGTTATGTGATTATATTGGAGCCAATGAGAAAACAAAGGTAATTAGTACTTTCTAGTAATTAGTATAGTTGCAATTGATTTCACCATGTTACGTGAGCCCAGGTTTTGAAATTTGTATAGCATGGTGTGTAGTTTGTTTAAGCTTTTAATGTTTTGTGGGAAAGAGATAACTTGGTATAATTGTTTTGTGGCAGATTGTTATCAAGCTGCAGTCAACTGAGTCGTGTCCTGTATAATTAGTGGTAAATGTGGCAAATGAATCAGCTCTTCCATACATAGACTTGTATGTTTGTGTATGTCTTTTTGTGTTGCACAAGTGAGTGTGTGTTCATGTGCATGATTGAATTGATTTGCGTTCAGTAAACGGCAAGATGCATCCGAGGGACCACAAATGCCTGCGAAGATGGACGCTGATAGACCAAGGCACTTGATTCTCAAACAAGTTACAGGTCTACAGTGCACTGTCAAATTATAATGTAAATTCTTCCTCATCTGGTTTGTGTGTTTTTGGTTGGATGAGAATCCCAAGAAGAATGATAAGAGATTTTGAATTTGTGATGCATTGACAATATCATTGTCTTTAAGTACAGATGACAGTAACCCGTATGATCATATTCAATGACAGGCTAGTTTACCTTTGTTTTGGAGTGGAATTTGTGATTTCTTATATGGATATTTGGATTTATTTAGCTGTTTAAAAAGGTAAATGAAGAGTAGCAATCTGCGTGTTTGCGTATGTCATATTTATATATGACAAAGGATAAGGGATTGATTGAAGAAAGAAAATGTCAAATAATTGTTTCATCCAGAGCTTGAGCTAGCAGACAGAGTTCAGCTAGCACAAGGATTGTTATCCAAACCTCTCAGGTAATAGGGACAGCCTCGTGATGAATCCACCAACTTCCTAAGGCCTGTTCATAGTTCAAGCCAAAATATTAATAAAATTGAAAATAAAACATTTTTCGCTTCAGTTGGCCTTTCAACTATTGTTTCCAAGATCAAAGTCGTCATCCATGCTATTGACACAGGATCCTGAACTCCGCCTAAGCTGTTACATTCTGGCAAAATCTGTTTCAATCGGTATCAAACTAATCACTAGTTAAGCACATAAATTTACCACTGTATAATTGTGAAATCAAAACTTTTACTTAAAAAGTCTATGCTGTTATACATCTTTTACTGATCTCTGTTAGAAATTGAGAATAGAATATTTGTTGCCCCATTGATGTGTTTTGTACTGATCTTATTAGGCTAAATGGGAATGGATGCTGATGCCTTAGTTTTCTATGCTAATGTTGCGGCTTATGTGAAATTAAAACTATTAAGAAGGCAAACTGATTTAACAATCCAGCTGGTCTGCAAGGCCTACCATTTCCTTCTTTTGTCCCTGATAACATTTAAATTTGGGTGGGGAGAAAGGTTTGTGGTTAGGTGCATATCTGTTAACCTATAGTGCTCAACAACATCAATTGAACTTTTTAATTGCGTTCTTTTGTTCTAATCCTGTCAAATTTTTGGCTGACATGTTCACTTAATTTAAGGTTTATGTTGCCCACTAGGAGTATCTGGGAAAAGAAAAGGGGAAGGAAACAAGAGCCAACAAAAGGCTCTTTCTTTTTGCACTTCCAAATATCTTCTTATATTAAATTGTTGAACATTTATTTCCTCTTGTCAACTTAGTAATTTTTTTCACAATGTCCTGCATTTGAAGAAGGCAGAGTCTAAACTCTTTGTTTTTTTTTTTTTTTTTTGTTGCTTTAGAATCAATTTTATATCATGTAGTAAGAGCTAAGAGTACATATAGTTTATTTGTTGATCCAAGAATCATTTTGTATGGAGGCTGGTGTCTTTTAGCTACTCCTGAAGGGTAGATGGGTTTTTCTACACTCGTGATTCGATGATTGGCTGCAACATAATGATGTTGATATTAGCCTAATCTAAGGTACTTTGCAGTTAAATATTCATCAGGGAATGATGCCGGCTCATTTGAATATATGGTTTCTTGGATTAAATTAGCTATCAGTATATGATGAGAATATTTTTTTTCGTTTGTGCCTTTGTCATCTGGAAACAGAAGTGAAATTAGAGTTCTTATATCTCTGACTGTAAGCTTGGACTATTTGGGACCACAATTATGATGAAGATGATCATCTACCTTCTCTCTATCTAGTATTCAGACTTCGTAATTTTCTTTTCAAACAGTTACCTGACGATTTTTAGTTTTCTACTATTCATTTAGATTTTTTATTTGTACTGTGAACCTTTCCTTACTTTTTTTCTTTCAATTGAGTTGTACAGTGCGCCTTGATTCAGGAGTATATGTAAAAGATATGTTTTATTGTTTAAGTTCTTTTTATATTGGAGAATGCTACTTATCCGAACTTTTCTTTCCCACTTCACTTGATTATGACGTCTTAAAAGTATCAGTTCAGAAATTTATTAGCTACAGCAATGGATTTTGCTGAGTGAAACAACTTTCAGAGGGTTACATGATGTCGTCTTAGAAAATAATTACAAACCATGAAAGTAGCAGATGATTTAAAAGACATCAATCAATCAATAATGTTGAATGCATGCTGATTTGAAGGTTCTAAATCTGTACTGATAAGTACTCATATTATAATTTAGGCCTAGGACAGAAGAACTATTTGGCTTTTAACAAACTTTAACTGGATCTCCCGCCATGAGAATTTCTGACAGCCATGCACTGAATCAAAGCATACCCATTATCAAATTTATGAAAAAAGCCAAAAAAAAAAAACAGATCATTAACCCAAGTAAAAAGTTTGTACTTTGCACACCCTCCATCTTTCTCTACTCACTCAGAGAGCCATCAGCCCCTGCAAAGATCTGGTCTCTCTTGGTCCTCACAAGCTGCTATCCGGGAAGCTGACGTTGAGTAAAACCCAACTTCGCTTACAGTCTTTCTTGAACGAAGTGGTTGCTGAGACTGCTTGCAATGCGCAATTGCCCCCTGAATTGAACTCTCAATTTCTGAACTTGCACTGTTGCATCTTTTCAGAAACTGCAGCTCCTGAGTCCCATTTGAATGATTTGAAAATGAAGATGAAGAAGAACCAGATGATGATGAAGAGGACGTTGAGTTCTTTGTCGAATGCCGTTTGATGGCCAGTGAGAATGATCTTCTGTGAATACCAGCACCATCTTCAATGATCTTGTCTTTGTTGAAGCTCCTCGTGCCGGAAGCAGACATCCGGCATTTGTCTTTGTGAATTTGTCCAAATGGATTCTTCTTGGCCGCCTTCACATATTTACTTAAATCCTCAGACTTTAAAACCATTCCTCCATCTGCATTCTTAGCAGCTGCTGCACTGTTCTCATCTGAGCAACCAGATTTTCCAAACAGAGACTTGAGGTAAGCCCGGGAAGCCTTCAGCTTTGACCCCAGTAATGACTGCTTGAACTTTTTGGTCCAAGACTTTTTCGGGTTTTCATGGATAAAGCCACTCACTTCAGTTGCATACTCCAAAATATACTCTTCTGGGTTCAGTTCTCTGCTAACCTGGCAAGATTCAGAAGGTGAGATGTTGCAGGATTCAAATGGAGTGCTGGTTGTGGTTGGCGTTGGGGCAGCAGTGTTCATCAATGGAGTGCTATAGAATTCTTCGAACATATCTTTTCGAGTGTCGTAAGAACTGGAGTTTTGCAGTAGTTTTTCAACCATTTGTAAACGAGGGGGAAGGTGGAGGGGAAGGAGCTTTCCTTTGTAGAAAAGCTCATCAGCTGGGGAAGTTGAAGGGGGCTCTCTCTCTAGGGAAATGGATGACATTTGAAACTCAAACTCTCTGGGGTGTGGAGGAGAGCTCATGGAGTGGCAGAGGTAGGCAGAGTATGAGCTCACTTCCATGTCGATGTAGTCGTCGTCTGCATGGTCACAGGATACGTGATCAACGGCCATGATCACTTCTGTGCTGCTGTTTGAAGAGTTTTAGCTTACTGCAGGAAGTGGAGCTTTGTGGAGGGTTTGAAGGTATTATGCAACCTTTAAAGCTTGTCCATGATGCCAAGTTATAGACAGAAATAACTGTATTTGAGAATTTTTTGAATCCTCAGAATTTCCAAATATAAAACTCCATGTGTGGACCATTTTCTGTTGGACCAGCGCTGATCCATTTCTTTACTCTCTTTTTTCTTTTATCTATGATTGATAAATTTTTGGTTGTTTGTTATTATTTGCAAAAGGAAAAAAAAAAATTTGAGTGGGTGATAAGTTTTATTGGTTTTACAATGCAAATTATGCAGTAATGCTGGCATCATTTCTCTCCTGGGCTCAGATTTCCCTGAGAAGCACTATATTTAGCATCATTATAAGACTTTAGTTTGTTGGGACCATTTATACACCAATCCAAGTTCCTAACTTCAGAAAAAGAGGAAATATTGTGGTCAAGCACCATGATTAAAGGATTAGTACCTACTGATGACTTGCTTTAACCCCTTAATGATCATCAACTTGGGTTAATTGAGAGAAGATTTCATTCATTATCTGAAAATAACCAGCAATGCCTGCATTTGACTGCAGTGGACTAGCAGTCAAGGAACAATAAACCCACCAGTGCTACCTATTTTATTAGTGAATTAAATACTCAAACATTTAGGCGCATGCACAAGAAAACAAGTAAATATTTTTCTCAAACTCACTACCTTTTAAAATTATATTTAAACTCAAGACCAACCCACATCTCAAAACCTGGCTTTTCTGCACTCCAAGAACATAAACAAATCTTCTCTCTCCCTCTCTCTTTCACTCAAAGAAAACAAAACTTGGAACAGCTTTTCTGATCAGTAGAGTAATACTAAATACTTGGAGCTGAAGAATCACTTTATCTCTTAATTACTCAGAAAACAAAACTAAAGAACCACTTTTAAGTACTTCACCTGATCTGCTACTTTTACTGGATTCCTGGGTTTCTTTTCTTTGATTTTTTTATTTTTACTTTTCATCTGTCTTGCTTCTCAAAAGCTAATGATTAAATTTTCTTCAACGTTCTTTTGTTTTCTGTAAAATGAAACAGAAAAAAAAAAAAGTAGAGAAGATTTTATTGTAGTGAAGGAGAGAATTGTCAACCTCATAAAGAGCCAACACACAACCCGACATTTGGTGGTGGGAAAGGGAAATTCCGGATGCAATGCCTGCGAGTCTCGAGACTTTTTATTTGTCTACTCCTTTTAACACACTCCCCATCTTTATTTTCCATCTTTTTCTCTTGTTTTCTTTCATTTGCTTATTTTTAACCACTAACAGAGCAATGGGATTCCCAACCTTTTTCAAAACCCAAAATGGTTGGTTATGGCTCTTCTGTCAGCCTATTCTATTCTCAGACACACTTCCTCATCACTTACTAGCTACTAAAGTTGACCATATAATAATTTGTTCAGTTTGGTCTTATTTTGAAGCAATGATTCTTATTAACGTCAGTCGTTCACGCGCTAATGACACTACTTTCAACCGTTAATGCATTGTGAGCTGATTGGGAGCAATCCATTTACCTCGTGAGCAATTGACCCTAGCAAAACTCTTGTTAGTAATCCTTATCAAATTCTGAATTGTCATTGAAATGCAGGGGATACAAAACTGAAAACAAACAGAGGCTCAAAAGAATTGAATTGTTTGAAAGAAAGATTTGAATTATTTTGTTCTTTTTCCAGACAGCCGGCACTAGAAAGGATGCACAACTGTCCTCCTGTAGTAAGCATTCATAAATGTGTTTTTTCTTTGCCTTGGGTCTAGACTCCAAAATGTACATTTAAATACAACCAAAGCAAAGATTTTAAGGGTTTGATATGTCAAGACCCCCACCCCACTTGGATTGGATTGGATTGGATTGGATTGGACATGACCTGTCCCAAACCCAACTCCACAAGCTCTTATTCTCCATATCCAAGTCTAACTCTTGAATCACCAAATAACCAAGATATTGACATTATGCAGAGACAAATTCTGTCACAAATCATATTGAATAGCATAGAATAGCCACAAATTCCATGTATATGAGCCCACAACCCTGAATCCAGGATGCTTGAGTTTTCTGATTGGTTCAAGGATTGACATGTAGAGCCTCTCTGGCTCTACCATTGGGGCACCTGGCATCCCACCAGCACCAAGAATTGCAACAGCAGCTAAGCAGCTTCAAGCAAACCTCTATTGGAAGTCATTTTAGAGACAACCTTTAGAGAGGATTTTTGGGTGGAGAAATTCCCAGCCCACTAGCTTATGTGCCCTTGTGCTGAACACACAGGAGGCCCTGCATAATGATGGTGCACTTGAAAGATAAAACAAAATTTACACTTCTATATCAGGAAACCTTTTCAAAGCTACATAAACAAAAAATCTCGAAACCACACTTTCTTCTCTGGACTCCTCTGTTTGTGATTGAGGAAGCATGAGAGGCCCCCTTAAACATTAGGTGGGCATCACCAACTTCAGGGAAAAGAAGAAATTGTAGCCACATTCTCATGAACAGTGCTACGAAACTCGGTGCCCGTACACAGAAAAAATATAATTAAAAAATGACCAAGAAACTCCTGTGGTTCACCAGCTACATCCAAATTACACCTTTCATTCACTTATATTCCATATTCGAGCATATAGGTTCGAGAATTTAAAGAAGGATTAAATTAACAAATTGATAATCTGTCACTTGTTACAGATAAGTTACAGAGAAAAGTATGTGTGGCTTTTTGGAGGTCAGGTACAGAGTTATATATCATGTTTATAATACACAGGTTTTTTACGAAACTTGCAATGACGGTGACCCAGCCACCATAAGTATTGGGGTCTATTTAGCTTTTGATGAATCACCAGATCTTAGTTCCCTTTCAAGCTCGTCGAATTCCCAGTCACCAATCTCTTCTGCCGAGTAGTCTTGACCAACCTTGCCAAACTCCGATTCCAGCTTTGCTAGTTCGGCTTCAGTGTCAAGCATTTGCTCTGCCTTCACTTTACCTGACCCAGGATGCTTATCTGTATCAGCTTTCTGTGCTCCTGTGCTTTCTGTTGGGAGAGTAGATGGACCACTCTGCGGCTTTTCACTAGATGAAGTTTCTGATTTTGGGGTTGGATTCTCCAGTTGTAGATTTGGTCTCTCAATAGCTTCAAATTGCTCCCTTAATTTTTCAATATCATCAAACAGCTCCTTAACCCTAGGGTCATCTTTCCTGGAACAGGCAAGCAAGGTACACATATTCAGGGGTTTTGGTGAATATCTTCAAACATAGTGTACAAAGGAAAAGAGATAATTATAAACCCCCACAAGTTTATACCTGGAAATTTCAGCTTGTGGGCCATAAAACTGCTCCTTGATGTTATCTACTACACTAAAGGTGGTAATAATCTGGAGCAAACCAACAATATCAATGTTTGTGCTTGTTAGCATATAAATGTTACACTACAACACAAACAGAATAGAGCACATTATGGGACCAAGAAAGCATTAGATACTTGAAGCATCCCTAATTCATTACTTTTACAGAATACTTGCAAAAGAAATTTTGGGTCATACATGATATGCAAAAATTAGACTTTGACAAAGAATAAATATATCCATCCATCCATCCTGACTCGTTTATTCATTTCTTTGTTTTTTGAAATTCACATGCTAAGAACAATAACCAATACTCTCATTTTGGGAAACCAAGCAGAACATTTAACTATAAAGGTCACTCCTTTTAGATAGCAAGAAAAACCACAATGTGCTGATAAGGAGAGATCTATGATTCTGTTGAACTCAAAGTTTTTCACAACATTTTTTTACCTTGGTTTCGTGGTCTAAATATTCCTCCTCAAGATTATTTATTGGATTTAATACTTTAGAATCTTCGCTTTCTGCAGTAGATGCCATCCTTGACCTGTCTCGTCAGGTCAAAAGACATTAAGAACAAAGCAAGTAAAATGAAGGTGCAACCATCACAGTTCAACAAACAGCATTACCCCTCGCTCAAATTCTTTAGGTTCTCTACAAATTTCCCTATACGAATGATAGAAGGCCCCAACTCTTTCTGCATAGAAGATAAAAGGTGTACCTCAAGAGTATCAAAAGAGTTATAGATAGATAGATAGATAGACAGACAGACAGACAGACAGACAGATATATATATATATATATATATATAGAGAGAGAGAGAGAGAGAGAGAGATTCAATACCTTGTAAGCAGAGAGATGATCAATGGCCAAGTTCAAGAAATAGTCCTCATGTTTCTCCAATTCATCGCTTAAAATTGCAGGAAAAAAAAATAGTTATTTACACAATAATGTACAGATTTCAAGAAAGAAAACGATCCTACACTTCTCAGTTTAAAGGAACAAAATTGCTGACAAAAGGAGCAATAAGCATTTAGCAATCGCATAGAGTTGAAGAACTTACTTGACCTGCTTCTCCTTCATATCTGTATATGAGCGCTGGAGAACCCAAGTATCTTCAAGAAAATTAACCCAAGTTTTTATAATATCTGCCTCTGCCCTACATGAGGCAATGGATTTTGATAGCTCATCTTCCTGTTAACAAAACAAAAGTAAATACGTGAATGATGCAAAGGACCTAAAGGTGCAATACCATGAAAGAATCCAGAACATCACCAGCTCAGGAAAAGAATAACCAAGAAAATAATCTAAACCTTTGTTTCGCAGTGGGAAACAATCTTATTGTTAGCTTCTTCAAATTGTTCCCTCTCTTCCCTGGTATTGCGAAGGCGGGCATTAGCTGCAGCCAAGGAGATATTAACCTAGAACAGATGACTAGTGTTTAGAAGTCACAATTAATGAAGAGAAAGTTAATTTAATATATAAGGAGGAAAACCAAAGCATATAAACCTTTTTCAGTTGAGCCTCAAGGTCATCTCGTTCTTTTTCAAGCTCTGTAATCTCAGCTGTTATTTCCTGAAAATGGTCATTGAAACAAAAACTAAAATTCCCTAATCAAAACTTAGGGCATACGTGTACCAACCAAGCATTGCCTCCCTACCACATCTATAACATGGATTTACAAAGATCATGAACCAAAAAGAAAGCTTTCGAGGGAGAAAAATGGAAGGGAAATGGTATATGCACTCGAAATTAGCTTCCCACATTCCTCCACGCACTCACATATGAGGATGTACGAAGCTTCTTTTGAGTGCAAATAATATCTCCCGAAAGAATAAAGAAGCTAAAAATCCTGTTCAACATAATGTATGAATATGCGCAACAGCAAGCATGAGATATCACCAAATACAGGACCTATTTAATAAATCTGAAATTTTAAGTGCTGAGTTTTTATTGCTGAAGAAACAAGCTGCTGAATTTTTTAATAAAAAGAATCATATTGACAGTATGCAGATGTTAAGAACAGACATAATTCATCTGGTTGATTAATGGAAATTATCAAAATCTTAAAAAGAGAGTACACAATATTCGCCACTCTGTCTTCTAATTTTTCTTTTTCTTGATTTGGTTTCATAAAGAAAAATGAAATGCCATATTAGTAAAAACATTTTGACATATTTCAAACTTGATAAGAATGCAATTACACACTAAAGACCTCTCTACAGAAATGTGAGTACAAACTTCACGTTGTTACATTTATAGGTAAGTAATGTTGAAGAACAATACCTTCTCTCTTTCACTCACTTCACTTGCTCTGGCTACACGAACTTTTAGTGCCTCCTCCTTTTGAAGTCTGTCATTCATAAGGAACAAAGAAAGTAATTTTGTTTTCCCTAAACCTGGCATCTAATAACAATAATAGATCAAGCACAGACTACATGTCATTACTGTTAATCAAATCAATGGTTTTCACTAGAACTACACAGTTACAAAAAGCAAGGCTTACTGAACCTTCCTATGGATACACCAAGCCAAATCATATAAACTTTCTTTTTAATGTTTTATTAGCTGATAGCTTAACATTTTCCAAGAGTTTTTTTTTTTTCTTTTTTTCAAAAGAACATTTTACAATAGTATTTTTAGACAACAGGAAGAATATTAATAAAACACACATATTACACCCAAAAAAAAAAAACAATGTAACAACATGATTTAATACTTAAGAAAAGCAACATAAAACAAATGGTTCCGAAGTGGTTACACCTGTGATCTGAAATACGATTTTCAGCTTTTGAAGAGGAGCTAGCCAGAGATTCTGACAAGACCTTCAATTTATCAACCTGCTTATACAACAAAATAACGTTGGTAACAGGAGCTTTGTACCTTGAAAGGAAATCAGCATTTTCTGGGTGCACAAGCAACAATCAAAGGATCGAGTTGCACTTAATTCAGAAAATATACAAAGCAGAGATTACCAGCAAATACAAGATAGAAGCAAAAGGGAAAATAATCAGACACAGCATAATCAAGGATGATTTTGTTGTCAAACCATGTAACTAAGTAAGAACCGTTTTTTGGGTTGCATCATAAACACTGTCAAATTTTTTACGTATGGGTCCCATAAGGCATTGATTTATTGAACAAGACACAAAAAGTAAACCTTTCACACATTGTGAATCAACAAACAAGCTCCTAGGACTAAACATATATAGTTGCATCCCCATAACTAAATTGTAGGATTTGCAGCATCTAGCATCCCATGTCCATGCTAAATAGACACTGTCAACATCTTCAGCCAAAAGCTTGACTGTCACAAGGACCGCACAGCACTGTTAAAACCCCCAAATCAAACAGCATGAAAGTCACCAGAGATAAAGGCAAGTGCTGCCAACAAATTTAAAACCGTGCTTTCAGATGCATAACCAATTGATAATGGGCAGACCGAGAAATACGTACTTTTTGAGCGTGGATCTCAGGAGAATCTCCATTGTTCAACAACTTTTTCTTCAGTAAAAGCCCTTCTAATCTGGAACAAGCTCGAACTTGTGCAAGTGCTTCTTTTAATGCCTACCAGAACTTAGGGCTGTCAGATCCATATTTCCACAATTTTTATACTCATAAAATGTTAAAGAACTTTCATGCTTATGTAAACATTAGCCAATTTTACTCATTAAAATTCCATCATAGAGCCATTAGTCTTCTACTTGATGGTATTTGACATCTCTTTGAAACAGTGGTACTTATACCATGAGGCACACCAAAAAATTATAATGACAACCATCCTCACCTCTATTGTTTCCAATTTTGTTTCTTCTGATGCTTTGTCATGACCTTCAGTTGAAGGCTTCAGAGGAGTGGTCGTTGTGTCAAGCTTCTTCCTTAGACCAGAGACTTCTTCATCTATTCTGTAACAAGATGCATTTAAATACATAGGTAAGACATTTTTTGGCCCATGATGGAAGTCTAGCATCATACTTTTACACTTTTTCCAACCAGTATGAATAATTAAATCTCTAAGGTCGCCAGCTACAAAAAATTTATACAAACGAAAGACAAATGTATTTGCATAAGCATATATGTGGCAAGTGCCAGCACCAATCCATATCCAAACAAGAAGGGTAACCCACTCCCTATTCTTCGTTAAAAAAAGGAGATTAACATCTATAAGATCAGAGTTTATCATGATCAATTATCCAAACAAGAAGGGTAACCCACTCCCTATTCTTCGTTAAAAAAAGGAGATTAACATCTATAAGATCAGAGTTTATCATGATCAATTATCAACTGCCTTGGTGATAACTCATGTCACATCCATTGTTTGGGCGTAAATGTGTGTGGTAAATAAAACTAGGTTATGTAGACATGACATGTTACTCATGAAAGAGAGAGAGAGAGACTGTTATTTTTTGCACACCTTATGACATCAGCATTAATCTTTAACCCCGTAATTGCACCTTGTGCAAATTGGAGCAATTCCTCCCGTTTTACCTGAATACAAAGGAAAAGATGAACCAGTATGAGCCAAAAGAAGAACAAGTCTTGCATGAATTGAATGGAGTACTCAATACTCCCATTTGCTTATGTAAATCAGAATATTAGAGCTATATACTACAACTTTAGTGGATCTCTGGAAAATAATTGTTACATGAAAAATCCCAGAGGGAAAAGAATGATAATGAATTATATCTAATATAAACTTTATGGAAAACATATATCAAAATTTCTCCAGAACTTCACATTTGTTGACATGATCTTTAAGATAACTTTTTTATGTCCTTACCAATACTTCATCTTCATAGCTTGAAAAAGCTTTTTCCAGATCTTGTATACTGCTCACTATTGCATTATGAACTTCTTTTCCTCCAGTAAGACAGAGCCTGCAGTTTCATATAATATTAAGATTTTAAAAAAAAGGTCCTAATATGGCTAACCCAAATAAAGAATACTGGCACTTAATAGCCCACGAGCATGCATTACACACAAGTACAGTCTTGCTTCTCACCTAAACATCTCCATCAGCAGGGCAACCTCTTCATCATTCGGACCTTCAAGAATCTGAAGCATAGAAAAGAGTTAACCTGCGGTTAACTTTCATAATCAGCAATTTCAAATTATATAAGATCATTTACACTCATTCCAGTTTTAGATGTGTTAGGTATTTGATGGTAGCCATAAGTTTCCTCGTCATCCTTTTTCCTTCCTTGATTAAGAAAAATCCACCTGGTTTGATTACAAATGGAAACACTACAGGTTTCAAAAACCAAGTGCATATGTGGCAGTGACTAAGAAAAACCAAAGGCAGGCTGCTCAACAAAATCATCTCCAACTTTGATCATTTTTCCATGATGCTTTCATTAAGTGCTACCCCCTAACTTATGAAACAAGCATTCTCTTCATGTAGAACATCAAGGTCATCCATTTTAACATCATTGGTTTGGTGAGCCAATTCTAAAGCATCATTAGTTTAAAAAAGAAAAATAAAATAAAAACCCATTTGGCATAGTTTTTAAAGACATACCATAGACAGTGTTATGCCCTCCAGAGCCTGGCTTTGAAGAAACACTTCGCGGAAAGTCATGGGTTCACCTCCAACATCAGAGTCATAGTACAAAACCTATTCACATTATCAAAAAGCATAAGATTCCACTGCAAACTGGACTACAATGAACCTGAAAAAGCTGAAAGAAATGAGGTAAAAATTGAACCAGAGATATTCTTCTTCGAATATCGTTGGCATCCTCAGAAGCAGTAGGGTGCTCGTCTGCGTTGTCTTTTTCTTCCACAGAACCCGGAGAAAGCTTCAGTCTCTCGACCTCTCTGAGCAAAATCACCCACCTTCTCAGTATCTCAAGTCTTTCAGCTCCTCTGCAAGACACAGCTGCTTCTTCCAATCTCTGGATACTCTTCTTAACACTTTTAAAACTACGAGCTCCCTGTAAATCAGATGAAGAGAAAATGTACTTATAATTTTTTATTTTTTCGGTGTTGAATGAGAAAACTGGTGGAAATTTTGAAATTACCATACGGTCCTGAAAGCGTTTGGCGCCTTCAGCTACGGCTTGGCCGGCGTGTTGGACGACGGAGTCGGCATAGTTCTTGACGGTCCGAGTGAGGTTGTTCTTGTTCCCAGCCTCCACGGCTTTGCTCACAGCCGATCTTATCCACGACATTTTCTCTTGACTTTTTTTTTTCTCAGCCCAAAAATATTCAGAAATTTTCTAAAACAAAGCTGAAAGTTTCTGGTTTTGTTTTTTTTTTTACAGAGAGAGAGATCGATGAAGGCTTAGGGTTTGGGTTTGGGGAGTTTGGGGTTTGGGTTTGGGGTTTAGGAGAAATGAGGGAAGGATTGGGGATTGTTTGGGAGAGCCATTTCCAGTTCCCACAGAGAAGAAGAGAGGATGAAACCGTCAGCGTTACGTTGCCACGTTTCTGGATTTAAGCGCCGTCGTTTTGAGGCATTTGGGTGCTGTCCTTGGTTTAAATGTACCAGTCCAGACAAACTACCAGTCTACTTCTAGCTTAACACTTTATTCCTTTTTTTTTCTTTTTCTTTTTCTGGAGTTCATTACTTATTTTCTGTTTGAGTTTTTTATTTGCAAAGTCAATTGAGTAATTGCCTTTTACATGGACGTAACTCATCAAAGTCAAAGAGTTTAATTGTTTTGATTTGCAAAGTTAAGTGGTTGAAGAGTAGTTACCTTGTATTGGCAACAACAAAAAAGAGTAATTACTCGAGTAATGTTATTCTTATCACATTTGTATATCATATTCTCATAGAAGGCAGATGAAGTGAACATCAACATCAATTAAAAAGTGTTAATAAATCATAAAAGAAAAAAAAATGTTAAATTAATTTTAATTGATATGGCTGTTCACTTCATTTGTCACATAAAATGATATGAGAATATGATAAGAGTAGCATTATTCTAATTACTCTGCATCCGAAATATGTTTTCGAACATTCATCCATTGACATTGCTTGTATAAAATAATATTTTATTTTATCGGATATCAAAAAGGTTCATGGAGAAAGGTCGGGGTAAGGTGCAATGGACCTTTCTGAATTTTATTAGCCTATTCTTTTGAAGTTTGATAGACGGCGGCCCACCGCTATCAACTTATGAAGCAAAGTCCAATTCTTTTATTGGGCCGAAACAGAAAAAAATCTTTTATAGTACTGAGAAATAGTACAGGCCCAAACACGATGTGCCTGCCCAACCGTAACTCTACATTTACTCAAGACACCCAACTAAAGCAAAATTACAAAAACAACTCCTCCTCCTCTATCAGCTTCCCCTCAACACTTGTCAGTCACGCACGACCTCTGATCTAATCAGCCAGCCTCATGGCGATCATGCATCAAATCCATTTTTCTTAAAATGCCGTTGACAGAGAAAGCCTAACGGTTAAAGTTAAAAAAAAATCTCTTAAAATGCCATGGATTAATCAAACACTAAAAACGAAAATATTTATGATATGAACGTAAAGTAATAAAAGTGAAACAATAAAATAATTTTAGAAAGTAGACCTATTTCAGTCAACTATCACCAACTACTCTATGAGTTGGTAATTCAATTATATTAATCCTGAACATCGCATCCTTTCCTGAAAACAAGCACACTTCTGCTTATAAGTACTTCTTTATAATAACTGTTAAAAAATCTTTTAAAAAATAAAGCATTTTTTTTAGGGAGTTTCACTAAAACACTTAAAATGGGGGTTGAAATTATAAAAAAAAAACTCAAGCACTATTTAAACATATAAACACACTCAAAACCCATCATTACACACACTCAAAACTCATTTATAAACACACCTAAAAAGTTGACTTTGGGGTTGATTTTGGATGTGTTTCTATGTTTAAATAGTGCTTGGGTTTTTTTTTATAAATACATGTTTAGGATTTGGTTTATTTATAAATTTGTATTTTTTTTATAATTCCAGAAACACTTTTGTGAGTCATAACTCCAATTCGAGCTCACTACGTGTTTACGGACTCGTTTCGTTGCGCTCTACGCAACGGTGCAGTCGAAATTCCTAAATTCCTTCTTGGTTTAAAAGTCAACTTTTAAACCTAATAAATATTCCGGGGGTATTCTAGTCCTTTCTTTGAATAAAATAATAATTAAGAATTAACTAAGGATCGGGTTGTTACACATGCACTAACCTTAGGTGGTTACAAGCGTCCTGTATTAAGCAAAGCTCCTCCATTAGTGATTTCTTCAAATCAACCAGTTGGAGTTGCTGGGAGGATAGCTCGGCTAGAGATTTCTCGATCTCCAATAAGTTACCCTTGGAGATCTCTTGGCCTGAAGCCAACGTCAAGGTGGCGGAAGGTTGAGATATATTTCCATCACCGATGAAACTACCAAATGATAGGGCCTTTGCTTTTTGGACAAAGGGTTGATTTTTTTTTAAGTTGAATTTTTGGACGAAGAGTTTGTTGTTTGTGAACAAAGTCAAATGGAAATTTCAAAGGGAAACACATTGTTTAGGTGTGAAAGTTTCCAACTTGTGGAAATTTCAAAGGGAAATTCATTGTTTAGGTATGAAAGTTTCTAACTCATGGAAATTTCAAAGGGAAATTCATTATTTAGGTATGAAAGTTTCCATCTCATGTAAAATTCATTGTTGTGCACACAAGTAGAGGAAGAATTTGGAGGAAAAAAAAAAAAGGGATGGTCGACTAGGGGAGCATTTTTGTTCACCACTTTAACTTAAGGTGTACCATCACCACTATTCTAAAAAGTTGACACTTGTTCATGAGATAACCATAGTTAACTTTTACTTTTAAATCTTTTTTAAACCAAATAATAAAGTAAAATAATAATTAAATTAAATTTAAAAACTCTCTTCTCTCCCTCCTTCCCGACCCACCTCCAGCAACCCTAAGCCACCATTCCCCATGTAGCAACCCAACCATTCCCTTCTAACAACCCAGTCACCATTCCCTCCCCCGCCTTGTTCACCCTCCATCGCGCCTTATTTGCCTTTAAGAGCCAAAAAGTAAGGACTCAAAGACTGATTTACGAGGAAGAAGAATTGCATAGCTTACATAAACGAATTTCCCAAGTTGAATTCCAATCACTTTTTTCAAAAGCTTCAAACTTTTTCTAAGCCTACTCTCATTAACAGCCACTAGATCTCAAACCTAGGAGAATCTGACAGAAGTACTAGAGTCCAAGAGATCTTGATTTTAGGGAAATTTGGTTTGATGAGTTTGTAATTTTCTGTAAAGGTCGATGGGTATTATTATTAATGCTTGGACCAATTGAAAGCCTTATGCTTTTTTTTTTCTTATATATATATATATGTAAAGTAAATTGACTGATGCACAAAGGTGGCGTTGGAGGACCAGATGGATGATGTGCCGGCGGAGACGGGTTTAGAATTTGAGCCATCATTGGTGGAGGGAGTCGGTTGGAGAGGAGAAAAACTTTCCTGGCACGGGGATGCCAGATTAGAAAACCCACTTCATATCCAATCCAATAAGATTGTGCCATCTGTCCAATTTGCATAGTACATATCTTCTGCCGGTGCAAACCAAAGTTTTGTTTTTTAATATTATTTTTCCCCCAAACAAACCTCACGGTTTTCATTGCAAGATTGAAATCACTTAAGAAAAATCCAATTTTTCATCTCTATCTTCCATGATGCCCAAATTTTCAAGTGTACAAAAATTCATTTGAATGAACATAAAAATTCAAAACCTTTTAATTATTCCAAACTCGTGGTTCAAATCCAAGCAAAATCCCCAAATTTACACTTGGATTTCCCCAAACAAAACTTAATTCAAGTTTCTGTCTAATTTCAAGCCAAAAAGAAACCCATGGTATCATTTTAATCATTATCGACCTGCTGGTTTGCATGACCTTCTTGAGGGCATCCATGGAAGCAACAGTGAGGAACCCACTGGTTTCTCTGGTTATTTTTGTTTGAATTTGTTGAATTTGAGTGGGAGAGAACGAAAACCTTGGACCTTTTCTTGAACAGTTTCAAGTTGATCTTACAATGGAAGGCCGGATTCTACGAGTGTATGAGGAGAGAAAATGAAAAAACTGAGCTTTGCTTTGAACCAGCAGGAGAGAGACGGTTTTGGGAAGATTGGGAAGGTGGCACAGTCTTATTGGATTGGGATATGAAAAGGGTTTTTTGACCTGGCATCCCTGTGCCAGGAAAGTTTTTCTCGTCAGAGAGGGGGGAGAGAGAGTAGAAAGTTATTTTATTTTATATTATTATTTGGCTTTAAATATTTTAAAAGATTTAAAAGCGAAAAATTAACTATGGTTATTTATATGGACAAATGTCAACTTTTTAGAAGGTGGTGAAGGTACACATTGGGTTAAAGTGGTGAGCAAAAATGCTCCCGGTCGACTAGTAGCTAGGTCAAGATAGTTTAAAGAAAATAGTGTTGGGAAGAAACAGTGATAAAAGAAAATAGTATTGGAAAGTCTATACAAATATATCTGAATCTATAACAAAAGTTCATACAAAAGTATGGAAGTCTATAATAAAAGCTTATACAAGTTTATTAAAAATCCGATTAAAACCTATAGGAGTTATATAATTCTAGGAAATTTGTCACTTAAAAAAAAATTCTTTCAAAATCGTATACAATCCTAATTGAATACACCCCCTAAAATACCATTGAGAGAAAAATATGCCTAATGATTAAATTTTAAAAAATCTCTTAAAATGACATGGATTAATCAAACACTAAAAACGAAAATATTTATGATATGAACGTAAAGTAATAAAAGTGAAACAATAAAATAATTTTAAAATGTAGACCCATTTCAGTCCACTGTCACCAACTACTCTGTGAGTTGATAATTCAATTATGTTAATCCCGAACATCACATCCTTTCCTTGAAACAAGCACACTTCTGCTTATAAGTACTTTTTTATATTAAACTGTTAAAAAATCTGTTAAAAAATCTATTAAAAAATAAAGCACTCTTTTTTTATAATTTCATAAACACTTTTGTGAGTCATAAACACATGGGACTCGATTGGAAGTAATTTTAAAAGGGCCAGAATCATTTACAGGGAAAAGTATTTCCTACGTGCTTCTCATAAAGTAAAGTAATTATATTCATAATCACTTCCAAGCGAAGGTTTTCTTCCAACGCAAACATAAACATTTTCTATTAGATGCCACCCATAGTTGGGGCCCATCCAGGACCACCTCGTGGTTCAAACCAAAAAAAAAAAAAAGAGGCCTAAGCTAGTTGGTATGAGTTGTATCAGACCAAAAAAAAAAAATTTGGTATGAGTTGTGGTGACTTGCCCTCTTGAATGACCGGTGAAACTTCCCTCCACGTTTTGAGACTCCAAGCTTTCCCACGTGCGCATCTACACCCCCGGACCGTCCTACTTAACAACCCAAGCTTGTCCTACAAAACCCCCTGAAGAACCCCTTCAATCCTTCACTGGTCAACGCACCGTTTCGTACAACAAATCCATTTCCATCGCCACACAAAAGCGTAACAAAGACTACCCAATGGCTGCACTACCAAATCTCACCGGACTTCAGATCGAGGCGACGTCGTTTCCACCGTCAGTCAAACCCCCAGGCTCCGCCAACACACTGTTCCTCGGCGGCGCAGGTTCGTAAAACTTCGCACTACCGGCGCACCGCAATGGTCGTCCGAACTAAATTTGTCCAGCTAATTGTTTGTTGATTTTGGTTTTGATTGGCTGTGTGTTGGCTAATGTGCGCAGGGGCGAGGGGGCTGGAGATTCAGGGGAACTTCGTGAAGTTCACTGCGATTGGCGTGTACTTGGAGGATAAGGCCGTGCCTCTGCTCGCCGTTAAGTGGAAGGGCAAGACCGCCCAGGAGCTGACGGAGTCCGATGAGTTCTTCAGAGAGATCGTTACAGGTAACGGACTTCTTAAAACAAGCGCTTAAAGCTTTGACTAGTATTTAATTTGACAGAGAATTGAAATGTTGTAATTTCATGTCTTAGCTTTATTTTTATGAAAATTAGTTAGGGTTAATGTGTTGTCTTCTGGATATGATGTGTTACTCTGTATGAAAACAAAAACAAAACTTGAGGCACAAGTTATAATCTTGATTATCCTTTCATAGGTCCATTTGAGAAATTCACACAGGTGACAACGATACTGCCACTAACCGGCAAGCAATACTCGGAGAAGGTTTCGGAGAATTGCGTTGCGATTTGGAAATCAATCGGAATTTACACTGATGCAGAAGACAAGGCCATTGAGAAGTTCCTTGAGGTCTTCAAGGATCAAAACTTCCCACCTGGCGCCTCTATCCTTTTCACACAATCTCCCAGTGGATCGTTAACGGTTAGTACTACTGAACCTTTTTTTTTTTTTAAAGGTTGAGTTTGTATTTTGCATCTGAGTTTTGACATCTTTGTTTGATCTCTTTCATTGCTACAGATTAGCTTCTCCAAAGATGCATCCATACCAGAAGCCGGGAACGCGGTGATAAAAAACAAACTGCTTTCGGGGGCAGTTCTAGAGTCGATCATCGGAAAGCATGGGGTTTCTCCTGAAACAAGGCAGAGTGTAGCTGCGAGGTTCTCTGAATTGTTGAAGTAGAGTTGTGATTATGAGGCCGGAAATGGGATATTGGAAACCCAGGTGTAGAAGAGAAATGGTTAATGTTGGATGGAAACTGGGAGAGGAGAAATAAAAGTTTACGAGTGATGTTCTTCTGTATTTTGTGAATTGTCTACATATAATCTATGAAGCTATGAAAGTGCTCTGTCTTGTTTAATCTTAAGAAAATTATCATATTTATGACAAGTAACAGTGTTGTTTTGTCCTGCTTAATTTTAAAATGGCTGAAGTTTACAATGATGGCTTCGGTGTTTCTTAACGAAATGGGAGATTACTTCAACAAGTTGTACCATTGCTACATTAACCAAATTAAATCTAACCTCACGAACAAATCACCCCTCAGTTTTCAAACTCAATACAATCTCTATGGATAAAAATTTCTGGGTGCCAGTGCTTCTCCTGGTATTTCATTTGTTCACCGCTTCTTCTCAAAGTAAGTAACGTAGGATCTGTTTGATATTCGACATGATATGTTGTTAAATTCTCGATCTTTTTCTTACAACAGAATGGTTGAACATTGACTGCGGTAACAATGCTCTACGTTTGGATAAAAACTTGCTCCGATGGGTCACAGACGATGGCTACACCCAAGCAGGCATCAACAAGCAAGTTCCACAAAAGCAAAAACTTGAAGAGATGAACACCCTCCGATCCTTTCCTAACAAGGCACAACAAAACTGCTATGCTTTACCTTTCAGTGAGCAAACCCAACGGGTCTTGGTCAGGGCAGGCTTCTACTACGGCAACTACGATGGTCTCTCGAAGCCTCCTTCGTTTGATATTCATATCAACGGTAGAAATTGGTCAACGGTCAACACATCAACGGTGGTGGAAGGGCCAATATACCATGAAGCCATGTATGTGAATCAAGGGGCAGGATCTCTTAATGTGTGTATTGTGCAGGATGAGAGTGGAGTGGTTCCCTTTATATCTTCAATAGAAGCTGTTCCAATTTCGGTTACGTTGTACCCTGAGATGGAGACCAACTATGCTTATAATCTAGTATCTAGGATTAACTATGGTGGTGGAGAAGTAAGGTACATTTCTCTAATTATTCGATCACTATTTAACATATGTAAAGTCGTCCACACTTACGTGAATAGATGTTACAATTAATACATCAACGACCAATAATCACTCACACGTTGTCTATTTTATTGGATTATGATATCATATTCGCTTAAACAAAAAGAAACATTATTAGGACCCGACATTTTTCTTTTCATATCCAACATTTTTTTGTTGCCATTTTTGATTGCAAGATATATTATATTTTGATTGAGAATGTACAAAAATTGCTGAATGTAGGTTCCCAGGGATATTGGGTGAGAAATACAACCGAGTATGGACAAGTGGAACAATCCCACCAAACTGCACCGAAGTCGCTACCTTACCAGATCCCTTATCTTTTCCAGAAAACGACCCTCCCATTTCTGTGTTGAGCGACTCCATTGAATCAATGAACCCTGCTGATCCAATCACCTTGTCCGTTGATCTCCCACAGACGACCCCACAATCAGCCTACCTTGTGCTCTATTTCACCGAAACGGTAACCCTCCCCAAACCAAACGACAGCAGGATAATTCAGATCTACATCAACGGCCAGATGAAGTCCACGGTGACATCTGAGTACAACAAATGTAAGGTGATCACCATATACCCTGTGACTGTTGTGGGACCTACGATCAATGTGACATTGGCCTCAGCTAATGGGTCAACCCTACCTCCCATAATCAGTGCCATGGAAGTGTTCACAAGAATAGGGGCCAACAAGGGTGATAAGAGTTCTTCTCCTCCCTCTTCGACTCCCTCTCATGGCACACAAGGACACTTCTTTTATGCATACATTAATTCCATTTCTTGTATTTGCTTGCTTCTTCTTCTATTCATAGCCTGACAAAGTTGAATTAATGTCCACAAGGGACCATATCTTTATTTTTCCTTTTTGGTTTTGACGTAATAAAATTGTCATTGTATTACTTTGGTAATTAAAAGAGTTGTCATTGTCTTCTAACTGTACTGGAGTCAAAATAAGGATGCATTTTGTCTTTTCCTGCTTACCTAAAGTAACTATTTATAATAATAATCATTCACGCATGTGTAAACAACTATCAGTCGTTGATTCATATGAACTTTATAATGAATATTTTATTAATCGATGACTTAGGGGGTTGTATTCAATTCTAACTTTTAATGACTTTTAATGAGTTTAAAGTCTGAAGGTATTTAATTGTGACTTTAAAATAATCTTTAAAAGTTTAGTTGTATTCAATTGTGAGTTTTAAAGAGTATTTAAAAGTTTTGAGGTATTCAAAATGTTAATGACTTTTAAAACCTTTGTTAAATAAATGACTTTTCAATACTTTTGAAGCTAATTTTTACTACCAAAAGTGTTGCTAATTTACACCAGACTTTATGAAATTATTGGGAAGCTAGGAAGATATAACCAAAATGTCTCCAATTCTTTCTTCCCTCTTATATCAAGCAGCAAGCAAATAGGTCTTTTTTCTTCATGGTTAGGGCTTCACTTTGGTAACCCATCTTGTCATCCACTTCCTTCAGTTCAGGTTAGTAAATTTTTTTGAATGTTTTTCTTCTCTTCTCATCCACACGTGTACTTTCCCTCTGTTGATGAATATTTCTTCTATTCTTTTCATCATGCTTGCATCCTGAAGCTTATCAATATTTCATCACAAAGCTATGTTTGCATATACATATTTTTACTATATTGATTGTCTCATATGCTATGTTTGCATACAATATTTTATTATATAATTTTTTGCCCTTAAACCCATTAATTTATTATTTAGGTACTGTTTCTTTACCCATAATTCATTTTCATATAATATTCTCAATTTGATTACATCCCACGTATTGGGCTAGAAGAATTGCGGGAATATAGACTCTTGTAATCTGATAATTTCTGTTGGTTTGTGAGTGTTTATGAAATATTATTGATGATTGAGTAATATTTATTTCTTTTGATAAGAATATGTTACTTATCTATATGATTAGATTTGATAAATAAAAATTTAAAAGGTGCATTGGATGCATTTTACTAATAAGCTATTATGAAAATATACACAATTAATAAGGATTTGTATCCAATTGTTTTTTTTTTCCTAATTTTTTGTTCCATGTATGCTGACTAGTTCATTCAACATAAAAGATAAATGCTATTCGTAAATTTGGATACATGTCATTGTTTACCAAAGTAATAGTCAAGGTACAAAATTTGATACACCTACAACTTGCCAAAACTTGGTCAATGGCGTAGGTTATGGAGCTAGGTTTTTTATTGACGTTGATTAGAGTTTAGTAGAGGGAGGGGTCCATGTAAAAGTTTGAGATTTTGTCCTTTGGCGTTCTAGAGACATACCTCATTGAATTTGCTTTTTGAGATTATGAGAGATTGAAAAACAAAGAGTTATGCTCAGAATAACTGTGTACGTATACGTAAATGAATATCACCGTGAATCTATGTTAAATTTATTAGAAGATTAAGAGACTGTAAAATAGTATACAACGGATGATATTCCGATAGAGTCTGAAAGCTTGCAACTCTAATATTTTGAGAATATTTCTTCTTACTCTCAATATTATTTTGCTAACAAAAAATTATCCACATGAAGCCCAACAGTTAAAAAAATTCAGTCTCATTTGGGTCATTCAATCAAATATCCAACACCAACATAACCAAAACCAGGCACCGAACTCAGAATCCCACCAAAATCTTGTATCGTACTACTCCCCCCCCACACTAATAAAGTGGTTGTGGAAAACGCGTAATTAAGCACACAGCTACGCGTAATTAAGCATACAGCTGACAACGACTAGGACTGTATCAATGTTCTTTTTTGAACAAGCCCGGCACTAAATATTCCCCCTCAGAACCATCACACGAACCCTCCCGTTATCTCACTCCCTCTCTCTCTCTCTCTCTCTCTCATGGGACCTAACGTATATTCCAATCCAAAAAGGTGAGCCACCCATAATAGCTGTCATCAGCTTTGCTCCATCATGTTGTCTGTTCAAACATTATTTACTTCTTTATCTCTATCCAATCCACTATGTTCTCTACTTCAAATTTGTGATTTTGCTAGCAGTTCTATGAATTTGTCAAACAAGACGTAGAGAAAATAATAAACAAGGGCTGGGTTTGTTGCAGTCAATGTGGTCTTGTCACGTTCATTTCTGTCCACATTGTGTTTCATTTTCTCATTTATTTAGTCCAGCAAGTTGAGGAACTCATGTCAGTGAGACACTGAGCATTTTGTAGTTGATTTTCGCACTTGGTTTTTTTAATCAGATTCAAGAACCTTCGTGTGCTTCTCCAATATTGATGTGTTCAGGTGATTTCAAGCTTACCCTTTTGGTTATTTGCTTAATTTATTGGTTATCTTTGTTGGGTTCTTGTTGTATCGGTGTTGTGAGGGAAGAGATAAGACATTGATTTTGTGCAATTCCATACTATAATCTGAGCCTTGTCCCTTCTGAAAGCTGTTTCCTTTTGTATTCTGAGTTTTGCTTGCATGTAGCAACTTGCTTTTCATGATCGCCCACTATCAATTACAGGTTGCAACTTTCTAATTTGTGATCTTAGCTTTGCCCATTTGAGTCTTGTTATAAGCCTCAGCTTTGCTTCAAGATCCCATCTCTCTTAACTTCAATCCTGGTTATGATGGCTGGTGGGACTTTTAGATTGCTTATAGGGGTTTCTTCAATTTTGTATCTGATATGCGGTTCATTGGGATTTAATCCAGTGGATAAGCATCTGATAACCTGTGGATCAAAAACCAATGTAAAAGTTGGTGATCGTGTATTTGTATCTGATGAGTCTGATTCCAGTATCCTCTCAACCCCACAAAAAATCTCTGGCAATTCAAGTTCCATATCTTCCTCCTTAGATTCAGTTCTGTACCGAAGTGCAAGAATATTTAGTGGAACCTCCGTTTACACATTTCCAATAAGAAAACAAGGGCGTCATTGGGTTCGCCTCTATTTCTCTCCTTTTGTTCATGAGGGTTACAATTTGAGCACAGCAAAGTTCTCTGTTTCTGCTCAAACTTTCACCCTTCTCAAGGAGTTCAAAATAGAGAGCGGTTACCGCATGAGAGAATACTCTTTGAACATAACTTCGGACCGTCTAGTTCTCACCTTTACTCCTGCCACCAATTCATTTGCTTTTATAAATGCCTTAGAAGTT